GGCGGCGCGGGGCTCGGGGGTGGCGCAGGAGGCCCAGGCACGCCCCCGCCAGCGCCTGTCACCGCGGCTTCCGGACCTGGGGGCGCCCCGGGCCCGCCCCCTGTCTTGACGGATCCCGGCCCGAGCTGTCGGGCACCCAGGGGGCCGGCTGTATGACCTTGGCCCATCACCGCCCCTCTCTGTGCCTCCCTTCCTATCCTCCCTCCACTTTTTAAGCGCGCTCAACGTCCGGTCTTCTCGGCTACCAAGGTGTCCTCGGGACCCCTCCTGGGGCGCGCGTTCGAGCTTGGCTCTGCGACCTTGGACAAGTGCCTTTCTTTCTGTGCCTCAGTTTCCTCCTCTGGAGAATGGGTGCCTGGCGGACTCCTGAGCCTTTACGGGAAAGGGGCGGTACTTGTTTCTGTCCTAGAGCCTTGGCATTTAGGAAGCTGGCCGCCCGGGTCCCCCGGATCTCCTGGCCGGCCCCTTGTCATTTTGGGTCTGCCTGAGCGCCCCCCCTAAGGCGCTGCCCCACCTGCTGGCCAGCTCTTCCTGCGTTTTGGTGGCACCTCGCTAAATGCAGGGGGCTGAATGCAAAATGCTTAATGGGGTGGGGATGGTCTGCCTCCGCAACTGGAACAAACTCCTTGAGCATGGGGAGGGAGCTCGTGGGTGCCCCGTCCCGGGCCGGGCAGGTGGCAGGCGCTGAGGGACCTGTTGAGTCTCCCCAGGCTGGGTGGCCAGCCCTTCACCGAGCCCGGGCCAAGCGCAGCCTCTCTGTTCTAATTTGTCCCGTTGTAGAACTTCAAAGTCGAAAGTTGGGCAGTGGCCAGATGAGTTGCCATTTGGGAACTGGTCCTTGACCCCAGTTCTGGAGCTCGTGCCACAGTCTCCCTCTCCTTTGTCTTTTGGGCTCTGGACCCAGAGAGACCCAAGTCGTCCGGGATTCCTCCTCCGCCTTCTGGGCTTGCGGCCCAGACAGCTGACCCAGAGTTGCTCTCTGCAACTCCCTGCAAGCCTTTGTTGCACGGGAAGTTGTTACTTGTAAGGAACTCTGTGTGCCTTGCAGTTCTTAATCATGTTGTAAAACTCATCTCTCCCTAATAGGCGGTCAAAGAAGAGGGGCAAGATCCTGATGAAATGGGCATCGAGTTAGAAGCCACCATCAAGAAATCAGCAAAGAGATATGTTAAAGGTATCCGCTTGTACTTACACTGCTTGGGGCCTGAGTGTGTAGAGAATTTAGAGAAATGGTGGGTAGCGCTCTTCCTGCCCTCTAGGCTGGGAGAAGTTCCACGTCTTCCGTGTCCCTCCTCTAAGAGTTAGCTTTGTTTGCTCTTCACCACCTAACAGGTAGCTGTGTCAAGGACACAGGCAGCAGGAAAGAGGTGTATAGGTGCCAAGTACAATTAAAATATGAGAAATCTCAACTGCTATTGGGATTAAAAGTCAACTAGAGTAGGGCAAGTTCTTAACGCTGCTTCTACTGGTCTGAGGAACCACTTGGCTTCCTTTCTGGTTCAAAACATAGGTCTTAACCCAAGGAAAAGGACACCAACCTGAGACTGAATGGAACTCAGCTTCTCTAGGATCCAGAATACATCGTTGGGGTATTTGCACTCAGCCTGTTTTTTTTACTATTACGGTTTTTGAACGTGAAGATTCAATTCACAGACTGTTAAAATCACCAGGTTAAGGTGTACAATTTAGTGTGTACACAAGGCTCTGCGTCCACCACCACTGTCTCCTTCTGGATTTTCACCCTTACCCCAAAAGGAAGCGCTGTCCTCATGAGAAGCTAGTCCCCTTTCTTATCTCCCTCCAGTCCTGGCAACTACTAATCCACCTTCTGTCCCTATAGATTTGCCTGTTGTGAACATTTCATGTAGATGGAATTGTATGACGCAGGGCCTTTTGCATCAGCTCTCACTTAGCATGTAATGCGTAAGGTTCATCTGTGTTGTAACATGTATAGATACTTCATTCCTGTTTATGGCTGATACTGGCTATTTTTGGAAGGAGTGAATTCCATAAAACTTTGAGGCTTTGACTGTCGTAATTGGTATTCTCATTGGTGATAAGCATAATATAATTTAGGTTTCCTGTGTAGTGGGCCTGTTTTCTTGAAAAAGTACTAAATTCAGGCAGTGGAGGATCACTGCTTAAAAATTGGGAAAAAAAATGGTAGCATTTTTAACAGCTTTTTCTTCCTAATGTGTTTTGTAGCACGTTAACTGTTTAAAAGTGTGCATGGGCCAGGCGCTGTGGCTCCTGCCTGTTATCCCAGCACCTTGGGAGACCGAGGCGGGCAGATCACCTGAGGTCTTGAGTCCAAGACCAGTCTGACTGACATGGAGAAACCCCATCTCTACTAAAAATACAAAAATTAGCTGGGTGGGGTGGCGCATGACTGTAATCCCAGCTACTTGGGAGGCTGAGGCAGGAGAATCGCTTGAACCGGGGAGGCGGAGGTTGTGGTGAGCTGAGATCACACCATTGCACTCCAGCCTGGGCAACAAGAGTGAAACTCCATTTCAAAAAAAAAAAAAAAAAAGTTTATGTGGTTTGAAAGCTTAAATCTTGTAGTTAGGCTGCAGAAGAGCTTAAGTTGAAGTTTAATTTTGAAACATTGATGTGTTTTTACTGTTCTTGTGACTGACTGTATTTCAGCTAGAAAGCCTGACTGAGCAGATTCAGAATGTGAGAGACTGGTCCACAGCAGGAAACGTAGTTTCTTTCTACTGGGGGCTCAGTTATGCATGATCTATTTCTTTTTTTTTAATGGTTGGGAAAACTGCTTAAAGTAAAGTTCGTTTGTTTTGAGGTGGAGTTCTGCTCTTGTTACTCAGGCTAGAGTGCGATGGTGCCATCTTGGCTCACCACAGCCTCCGCCTCCCGGGTTCAAGTGATTCTCCTGCCTCAGCCTCCCGAGTAGCTGGGATTACAGACATGTGACACCACGCCCGGCTCATTTTGTATTTTTAGTGGAGACGGGGTTTCTCCATGTTGGTCAGGCTGGTCTCAAACTCCCAGCCTTAGGTGATCTGCCCACCTCAGCCTCCCAAGGTGCTGGGATTACAGGCGTGAGCCATCGTGCCCGGCCAAGTTTAAATGATTTTTTATGTGGTATTCATTTAAAACCGTGAAGTTCAAGACTTACTACTCAAAATATCCTTGGCTTTTAGCAAGAATTGAGCAGGGATCATTTCCTTTTTTTTGTTTTTGACATGGAGTTTTTTTTGCTCTTGTTGCCCAGGCTGGAGTGTGCAGTGGCACAATTTTGGCTCATGGCAGCCTCTGCCTCCCGAGTAGCTGGGATTACAGGCACCCACCACCACGCCTGGCGAATTTTTTGTATTTTTTGTGGAAATGAGGTTTCACCATGTTGGCCAGGCTAGTGTAGAATCCCTGGCCTCAAGTGATCCTCCAACCTTGGCCTCCCAAAGTGCTGGGACTACAGGTGAGAGCCACTGCATCTGGCCTAACAGGGATCATTTCTAATGATCTTTGCATCATTAGAAAAACTAAACTTTAGCTGAGTGCTTTGAAGACCCGCCTGAATGTCTAGATTAAAGCTTAGGTCAGTTCAAAACTACTTGGAGTTAGTGTTTTCTCAGAAAAGCTTGCGTGATAATTCTTTCATTGCTATAAAAAGAACATTTGTAGCCTCAGCTCTGCTGAGGGTTAGAAGGGCTTCTGGTCCCTTTCCATTCCTTCTTCAGAGAAGTAGCCAAGCCCAGAGAGAGCACAGGTCTTCAGGCAGAGCTCAGCCCACTCAGGGCCCAGTGTTCCGCCACAAGCTGGTAATGTTCTCTAGAGGTGTCGGGGCATGTGGCTAATGTATAAAGTGCCAGAGCTTTGTGACTTTGTGGTTACAGTTAGGTCCTGTGATTACATACAACTGTTAGGTCAGGAGGAATTAACCAGTCAAGGTTTGTTTTGAGCACTATGCAGCAGCATTCAGGGAGTCCGAGGTTGGACTAATTCTGGGAACTCACTGGTAACTGCTTCCATGCCAAAGCTGAAGTAGCCAGACTTGTTGAGGGAAAGCATCCTCATTATAAACCAGCGTAAGAGTCTTCACCAGGATGAGGAGTCCTGGGCAGCATTGTGGGTGGGTTTTAAAAAAATAAAACTTCGATTAGAAATTTAAGTTTTAGATACCATGTGGGATTGAAGTTGGATTTTCTATTATTTTCATTTTATTTTATTTTTTTTAAGAATAAGAAGGGGTCACCATGTTGGTCAGGCTGGTCTTGAACTCCCGACCTCAGGTGATCCGCCCGTCTTGGCCTTCAAAGTGCTTGGATTACAGGCGTGAGCCACCATGCCCGGCCAAAGTTGGATTTTCTTACATCTGTGTCCCTGACAGTGGCAGCTTTTGGTTGGACCAGGCCAGGTGCTGGGAATCGGGGTGTTGCCTGCCTGCGCCGCGTTAGCTTTTTGGTCAGCATTTCTCCTGTTTCCGTCCTATGTGGGCACTGCAGGCTACTATTTAGGGGCCTAGAAATTGGGTGCAATTACCAAACATTTTTAGACAACGTGTTTCAAAAGGATATGCTGTATTTAGATATAATGGCAAGTGGGACAGCTGAGTTTCAGAGTGCCAGCTTTGGAGCACAGCCAGATTCTCATGTGTCAAATGCAGATAATAAAACCGGCTAGCGTTGTTAGGCGTCTTAAACGATAGACTGGAAAAAGCTAACGGTGTATGACATGTAATTAAACTGCATTTCTTGAGGGATTATTGATAACAGTGGTGAGCGAGACTTGAGGTGTAGACTCTGCAGGTTTTTCATGTTCAGTTTTCTTTTTAAAAGTTTATGGAAGTAATACTTTGAGATAATTTGGAAAATGTAAAAAGTGTGCATGTGAAAATAAAATTATCTCTAATCTTACCCCTGAGTATCTTTGCTACTGTTGATGATTATCTTGGCCATAGCCACCTGGATTTTATAAACGTATCCTGACACTTGCATGTATACAGATAGACACTAGCTTTTAAGAAAAGTACATGTTTCAGCTTTGCGCAGTGGCAGTATTATAGCCAGTGAAGTTTATCCAAGGCGTGATCATTGCTAATTGAAAACTTTTCCCATTACCCGTCAAGGTGACTTGAAATATAGTCGGCATCGGCAATTTTTGACAGTCTCTATGGAGACTAAATTAAAAATAAAAAAGAACAGTATACCTTTTTTTAATGTTTGAGTTTTCTTTGTGGGTGTGTGTGTGAGAGAGATATGGTCTTACTCTGTTGCTCAGGCTGGAGTGCAGCGGCATGATCACTGCAGCCTTAAGCTTCCAGGCTCAGAGCATCCTCCCTCATCCACACCAGTAGTTGGGACTACAGGTGCATAACACCATGCCTGGCTAATTTTTTATTTTTTTGTGGAGATGAGGTCTCACTGTGTTGCCTGAGCTGGCCTCTTAAATCCTGGCTTCAAGCAATCCACCTGCCTTAGCCTCCCCAAATGCTGGGATTACAGGCATGAACCACTGTGCCCACACTGGGCATTTTTTCTGTTTCATTAAATATTCTTTAAAAGCATAAATTTAAAAAATATCGTGAGACATCGGATGGTGTCCCACAGGTTTCTCGGTGTTGGCACTCTTGACAATTTGGGCAAATAATTCTCTGTGGTTGGAGAGGAGTATCCTGTGCATTGTAGGGTCGTGACCAGCGTCACTAGCTGCTGATGCTAATGACATTCCTCCAAGTCTTGACAGCCAAGAATGCCTCCAGACATTGCCAACCGTTCTTCCTGATTGTGAACCACATCTGAGTGAAAATGTGCCATAATTTGTTTCCCTTTTGGGTGTTTAGCAGGCATAGTAGGACAGATATCTGTGTTTCAGACTCCTTGTCAGACATTCTAAGACTCAGATTCCTGGAACAAACGGTATGCACATTATTAAGGTTTTTGATACCTACGGAGACTCAAGTTTCTTCTCAAGGTTTCTACTCTTGATTCCCTCCAGCTTCCTTTTACAATACCTAGCAGAATTCTGCCAAATAGTTATTTTGTGGTCACAAAACCCAGGATGATTCTTGACTTTATGGCAGCCTTTGCCTTTTTGGCTTGGGGGGGGAAAAAAGTTCTTGAGTTGAAGAATGACAAAGGCCTATTTGAAATGGGTGGAATATAGGGAGAGCCAGCAAATCAGTCACTCAGTATGTTATTTTATGTTGCATTCTTTGGTTACTAGATGAGTATTGCATTTTTTTGGTTGGTTTGTTGAAAATGCCTGTTTTTATCCTTTGCTCATTTTTTGTGTGACCTTTTTCTTAGGTTTGGAGTGTTTTTGAAATATTTGGAAACTTTCAGAATTTTATGGAAAATCGGATTACTCTGATAATCTAGCAGGAATCCTAGATTTTCATGTCCCTGTTGATGGCTTACTTAGAACACCAATTGAGACAAAATTATGCATGACAGGGGAAGGGAGACTTTTAGTTTCTCTTGTAATGTGTTCTATTCTAAGATTGAAATCTATTCTGCATAAACTGTGAGGTAGAACTTGAGTGCTATCTGACTGAACAGTTATTCTGTAATTAGGACTGAAGATGGAGGAGGAAGGCACAGAAGATAACGGCCTGGAGGACGATTCCAGAGACGGGCAGGTAAGTGATGCCAGGGTGGAGGTGACAAGCAGCAGCTCTGCGTCCTGGTCCAGGTGGTCATTGATGCCTCTTCTTCCTCTTTACAGGAGGACATGGAAGCAAGTCTGGAGAACCTGCAGAATATGGGCATGATGGACATTAGTGTGCTAGACGAGACTGAAGTGGAGAATAGCGGTGCTCCAGATTTTGGGGAGGATGGCGCGGACGGCATGCTCGATTCCTTTTGTGATAGTAAAGAATACGTGGCTGCACAGCTGAGACAAGTCCCGGCTCAGCTCCCAGAGCATGCTGTAGGTAACTTGGAGACACGGCGGGATGTGCCTGTAGCCCCGAGGCACCCTGGCGCTTGCGTGCTGCTCATGTGAGGGAGAACACAGCTAAATCACCATGAACACATAGTTCGGTGTCTGAACCCTGGTGTTGAACTGTGTCCATTTAAATGCTGCATAGGTCAGGGATTAACAGCTTTTCTGTAGTACTAGGGAACGTTTTTATAATTGTCTGAGAGAGACTTTCAAAGCATGTGATAAGTTATAAAATAGAAAGCTCTGACACACTTAAAAGATTTTTCTTTTTTGAGATGGGCGCTCACTCTTACCCAGGGTGGCCTTCAACTCTTGGGATCCAGAGATCCTCCTGATTTAGCCTCCTGAGTAGCTGGGAGTATTGGCACAGGCCAGAGTGCCCAGCCAGTTTTTTCCTTTTAAGAAATAGTTTTAAGAAACAAAAATGGTTTGTTTATTCAGAGACAACAGGCTGTGCAGGCTGGAGTGCAGTGGTGTGATCGTAACTCAATGCAGCCTCAGCCTCCCAGGTTCAAGCACTCCTGCATACCTGAGACTACACAGCAAACCACCATCCCCAGCTAATTAAAAAAAAAATTTTTTTTTTTAGAGGTAGGATCTCACTAGGTTACCCAGGTTGATCTTGAACCCCAATCCTCTTGCCTCAGCTTCCCAAAGTGCTGCGATTATAGGTGTGGTCCACCACTCCCTGGCTCAGAAATGGTTTCTAATCTCATCATGTAGATATTCCTGTTAATGTTGTGGGGGGTGTGTGTGTGTGTGTGTGTGTGTGTGTGTG